CAACAGCTGGCATTAAGCCCTCCTGAACTACTTCTCCAGAGTTTACATGTTTTCCACTGATAGTCACAGATCAATGAAGAAATAGCAACAGCAACTTGACTCTCCCCTCCTGAAACTTCCCCACAGCCCAGGAGAAGAAAATAAAAACGTGCCTGGATGCACTCACTGAGGCGAAGGTCAGTAACGACTGCCGTCTGAGCTGGGAGTGAAATCAAAGCTCAAAAGATTAAGATGCATGCGAGCTGGCTGTACGGCACAAGTGGGGTAAAAGAGATGACAGAAGTCCCAGGCTCCTCATTAAACAGTGTCCTACCAGGCTATTAAACTGTTTAGTTTCCCTGCCACTGTGTAACACCAATTTCTCAGGCGTGTTTTCCCACTGACATAACCCGGAGCGCAGGGCAGCAGTGCCTCAGCTGGCACAAGGGTTCCCTGACCTGGACAGAGGAGAACCTTCTGAATTTAGTTTATTTCCTCAGGTAAAGGAATCCCACTGAAGCAGAAGGAGGCAGATCAGACAGTCCGGATAGTCCTTTTTCACTCAGTATACTGAGGAATGATGCCTCGCCACCTACTAGACCCCTTGACAGAACAAATAACTGGAAGAACATCTGTAGAACAACCCAGCATTCTTGGTTCCCTGCTCCACCCAAGAGCAGCCTGTCTTTTTCTGTGAAAAGGTAAAATAGAGAAAGTTGAACTCAACTGAAAAACGCAGCAGTTAAACACTAATTAACAGATCAAGCCACGCAGATCCAAAATTACAGTTTAACGCTGGACTTGCACAACTTGCAACCCATGGTTATATTGCTCTCCTTAAGCACCTTTCACCCTCCATCCTCCTCTGCAAGACTGCAAAAGGCAGTGGGTCAGTGCTGGGTGAGGACAGAGGAAGACAGAACAGTGTGCAGGGCAGAGCAGCAGAGCTGCAAAACTGAGACGAATCTGGATGGGGAATGTCCAAAGCCAAACAAGCTCTGCTTGTGCTGGCTTGAATGAGAGCCAAATTAAGCAAGGACTGCTTCCGAGAATCCCGTGTCCTTGCCACCAAGGATGGTGAGAGGGCAGTGGAAGGAGGGGAGAATTTGGGAAGCACAAACACAAGCGTGCGAGAAGACAGGACAGAGCGACTGAGGCTCTGCAAGCACAGAGAAAGCCTGACACAATCCATGCCTACACAGACGGCAGCATCCATGCCAGCATCTCCCCTGCTGTCCCACATGTGTCCCCAGAACGCCGCTGAACTCGTGCCTGAAGCACCTGCTGCCATTTCACCTCACAGCGTTCTCTGACTTCCTCGTTCCCCTGAGCCAGAAGGAAGCACAGCAGACACAGCAGCTAAAGAAACAACATTTGGGTTGTGTGACTCAGCAGCAGAAAGGAGCCACGCTGGTGTCCCAGGTGTTCAGACAAGGGAGGAAACAGCCACAGACACATCCAACCTGCACTACAGCAGCAGGTGTGCCAGGATAACGTCAGCCAGGAGAAGTCAGGACAAGGAGACACAGAGCAGAGGTGTGGGGAGAGGAGAAGGGATCGAGACCACTGTGGGAAAGCTGAATGCTCAAGAGACAGCTGAGGTGGATCCATGATCCCGGGAAGAATCTGGCTGGTGCAAGTTTTTTTCCTCTCAAGCCTCCAGAAAAGGAGAGTTGGGCTGTGTAGACACTGACATGGCCACTCAAACCAAGGCCAGCCCAGCAAGAAAATCCCTGTTCAGCGTGGAGCAGCAGGAGCAGCACCTGAAGGCAGGACCAAAGAGTGTGCCACAGGATGCTGTGCAACAGGGAAAGAACAGGCCTGTGCCAGCTCTAATTGGCCCCTAAAATGACAAGTTACTCTTTTCTATTTAATCTCTCTGTGCTTTGTTTCCCCATCTTTAAAACATCCCTTCATCTCACAGAGGTTTGGAGAAAATTAATTAATTGCTCATCAACTGCTCAGATACAATAGTGATGAGATCAGCAGACGTTCAAGAGGAAATTAATAATTCTGCCTCTGGAACAGGGCTTGAATAGAGCCTGGTAAATAAGGCAGAAGGGCACAGAGCGAACAATAAAGAAAAAACAAAATCCTGAATAGCTGCTCATTAAGTGAGCAAAGTCCATTCTGTGCCTGAGGGAGGCAGGGACCCCATGGAGAACCTGGCAGGGGACCCTGTAATTAAAGGCTGGATAATAATGAGCACACACCGGGGGGGCAAATTACGGGACACAGGGAACCCCAACGCTGCTATTTTCTAACTTTTCCGTGTTTGACTTTCAACCCTAACAATGCTCTTTTAATGCCTTTTTTAGGTGTGCAGTGTCCTACAGAGGTGTAGGCATCGTACTTCCCTTCTCCTGTTCCAGCAGTGGGATGTCTATTCTGATTTATTCTGAAAAGTGTGCACTTACAGCCATTAAAGGCTTAGAAGAACAAACAATTTGAGTTGGTGCTCAAGCAAATGCATACCAGCTTTTGGGGCCGTGGGTTTGTTTCTTTTTCTAAGCAAGGTAACCAACCCAGTATTTTCTTAAGCCAAAGAATAATACATCCAAACACAGCACGCACAAACTACAACCTAATTCAAAAATAAAACATAGCCCAGAGAGAGTTGGTCAGTATTTTACAATTCAACCATTTACCAGTCAAAAACCATGAAAACCAAACCAAAAGAAGGCTTTCTAAAAGAGTGCTGATGGAAATGCTGCAGAGAGCCTCTGCAGGTCTGAGCTCTGGCACTCCCAGCCCATGGACAATACATCTGAAAACCTGAGGGCTCCAGCTGCTGAGCCTACAGGTCTGAGCCCAGAGAAAAAGCCCTGGAGCACAGCAGCAGCTTTGACCAATGACCAGACCCCAGGCTCACCTGGCAACTCAAAACTGAGATCCAGGGCTCCAGCTGAACAGAAATCCAACCACCAAACAAATTCAGCACCTATGTTAGTGCCTCTGTAGTGACACTGTTGATAATAAAACCAAATTCCTGTTAACACTAACACAAAACAAAAAGATGAATCACTATGATAAAAGGGAATGACTTTTTGGTGAAAGACTGGGAGTGAGAAAAAATATAAATAATAAACCAAACCAGAGTTTGTCCAGAACATTGTAATTATTGACACTGAGGTTTCTTATTTGCTCATTAAAATCACAATTCCAAATCCATCATTCCCGTGCTCAGCCACCCTCTGAGGGTTAAACTGCAGCAAACAAGTGTTAAGTGACTTGACTAAACCATACACACATCACCCCTAGAGTCAAGGAAAACAAAGCTGGGACAAATCAGGCAAAATCTCAGTTCTTGGCTTGAAAGAGACGTGCAGACCCCACTTAGGATGACTCTCAGCAGCCAGTCCCCAGCTCGGACTCCTGAACGCTCCCCCTCCTGGAAGGTGAAGGCATTTCTGAGAGCACTCGAGCTGTGTCACATCCTTCAGAACCATCTCCCACCTGCAAACAGGCTCTCGAGAAGACTGACATCCTCTGCCAACCCCCGAACTCCAGCAAGCCTTTTCCACTGAAAACTGTGATTTGGAGCCAGTATTTTTAACAGGTTTGAAGCATGCAGTCTTCACTGTGGAGAGTAAAAATAGGAAGAACTGGCTCCTCTGCCATTGTGCTAAACAGTTAATCACCTTCATTGGCTTGAAAAAAGCAGCCTGAGCAAGAAGTCCTGCTGATTACAGGAGAACACCCCTGGGGAACACAGCTTCATGCCCCAGGAAGGCTTTGGTCACTAAAAACTGACCTCCATCAACTGGGCTTTCATGGAGTTACAGCAGAGCCACTAACTATCTGCAGCTTCCAGCTGCATGTTCCCATGCAAATAAGGACACTTAGGCAGTTAAAAGGTATTATTATGGCCTTATCCCGAAGCCTCCTCACAGTGAAAATGTTCACCTTCATCCTGTAAAAGTTCACTGCTACTGAAAGTAAAATTGGATCCCAAGTTTCCCCAGGAAAGCCCAGTCTCTCTGCATGCTTTCTCGTACTGACCAAGTCATTCAGGTCCCAGTTCTTCTCCTAGAGCCAATTATCCCATTGCCCTGCGTTGGGAACCTCACCCTGCTTCTCCTCTTTACAAGTAAGTCTGCACAATAACATGTCAAAGGACATTTATGAGGTTGTAAAACACCGGGCAAGTTGGCAAGTGCGAAGGTGAATGCAGATTCAGATATTTAATTATACAGTCAATCACGCCTGCAGTTCAGACAGCAGCTCAGATCTCAAAACTTAATTACTTTAATTTCAGATTAATAGCTTGTGTTGTCATAAGGAGTTTGACATGCTGGAAAACAGTCAGAAACGACACTGGGAATTGATCCTGACTGCTAAGGAGGAAAAACATTGGAGCATCCGTGGAAGTGTTCAAAACTGACTGGGTCAGGCTCTGAGCAACCTGACCCAGCTTTGAAATCAGCCCTGCTTAGAACTGGGGGAGTCAGGGTGTGAGGGCTTTGGATCAGAGACCCCCAGAGGGCCGTTCCCACATACCCCATTCTGTGCCTATGGACACAAACGACCAGACAAACCACAAGCACAACTGTATCTCAGTCACACAACTTCCCAAGCCCTGCCAATCACCCACATGCACCCCAAGCCATCTTGCACAAAGGCAGCTGCTCTGGAGCTGCTCCAGGAGCACCATCTCTCCCTGGAGGCTCTTCCCAGGGCTTCCCACCCTGATTTACCCGCCAGAGGCACCGACACCTCCTGGTTCCTCTGGCCTGAAAGGGCCCAGTACAGCCATCACTATGTGGCCTTCAACAGCTACCAGGAGGAGGTGTTAAATAGCCAACTTTTATTCCTTTGACCACCCACATCTTGGGCAGCCTAAAGCACCAGAGCTGACGTTTGCTGTTCTGCTTTTCATTTCGAAAACGCGAGAGGAACAGCACAGGGCCCTGTTAAAAAGAACAAAGCCAGAGGAATTTGTGGCAAGGTTGTGAACCTGGCATCTGATTTCACAGCACAGGGTGCAGCAGGAATCGTTAGGAATCATTAAATGCTCTTACCTGTCCTGCAAAAAGCCCACACACGCCAATAATACAGAGAATGTTAAATACAGCCGAGCCTACAATGGTTCCAACGCCCACGTCTCCTTTTGTGATAAAAACACCTGAAAAACAAGTTCAAGGGAAGCTGTGTAAATTGGAAAGAGCAGAATTTTTTCACAAAAAAATTGCAGACCTCACAACCCCAGTAATGAATCTAAAGGCAGGCACTGGTTCTGCCACTTTTTCTTATATTTAATAGGGCAACCTGCAGAGACTTGCTTTCTGAGGGGACCTGGACAGATTGTCTGATGGAAACCAGGTACCTTAGTCATGTCTAAGTTACCAGCCTCCTGGCCTGGTGATCCACCATTATGGCAATACTCATCACAAAACACTGTAAGCTCTGTGGGAGCAGCTGGTTGGACACAAATTTGCAGGAAACTGTCTCCCAGAAAACATTCCTTCCCCAGTACTCCCCATATCCCCATCCCAACAGGCTTCAGCAGGGATGAAGCTTCAGCAGAAGCTGGAGCTGATTCAGAGTCGTCTGGCCATTAGCTACTTCCAAGCTGAATGATGCCTCTCAGGATGAGTTATGGGGCTCTTTTCAGAGCTCTTCTGTCACACTTGGTTAAAATTGGCCAATGAGGCTAAAGGTGAGGGAGATGAACTGACAGACACATGCATCATGGTGCTGCACAAAATCCTTTCCTTAGGAAGTCAGCCTAAATATAACACTCCATCTCCTGCTAGCTGTCAGTCTGTTTAAATTCATCACTTGCTTTTAAGGTTCCAGCAGTATTTATCTGGCCAGTGCAGTTTAGGTATGTTTTCCAACTTCATCCTTTTCTCAGAAACACAGAAGCACTCCCCTGTCAAGTGACATGCATCTGGATTACACCACGGCAGGATAATGATCTGACTATTAGGGTTTTTCTAAGTTGCCTGAAGGAATCTGGTTTTATTTTCACCCTGCTACTGCAGTCCCCTTAACTGAAATGCAGCCCCAACTTTGTCCAATTTAAGTTCCCAAATGTTACAGCTTTGCTCATGTAAGGAGATCTCTCTGCAGAGCACACAGCTTTGTGTGAATTAACTCGTGCTCTGCATCTGACAGCTGTGACTCAAACGGGAGTGTCTCCTGGAGAAAGTATCTAAACTGAAAGCTAATTCTTGGTGATGGAGAGCCCTCCATACCCTCCCAGGCGCCGCCCCGATGATCCCCTGCCAGCAGAGATGTGGATGAGTAAAAACTGCACAGAACAGCACCTTTGTACAACCCTGACTGCAGTCCCCGCTCAGCTTACGGCTCGGGAAGGACTTCAGCTAGTGAGGACTGCCCACAGTCAGTCCCAGGTGTGCCCACCAGGGAAGGGCCTGGGGTTGTAAGGAACGCTACAGGCACGCAGCAATCCCATTTCAACTCTGGAAAGCAGCCAGGGCACCAAGGCTGGGGAAGCAGCAGGTTACAGTTACCTATGACAGACGTAAAGAGCTCGGGAGCGGAGCTTCCCGCTGCCATGAACGTCGCCCCAGCCACGTCCTCGCTGAGATGCAAGCGCTGCAGAGGAACAGAGGCACTGGTTACAACACCGAGCAGCTGAGGCACTGGTTACAACACCGAGCAGCTGAAGGAACCCCACTGCAGACGTCAAACTGTCTGCCCAGAGCGGAAACCTGTGTAAAGTTTTATGTTAACAAAGGTTAAGTACAGGGGAAAAGTCATCACGGGCATCGGCTACCTAAGTCAACATGTCCTGGCAGAGGGGGCAGGTTGTGCCTGTGCCAACCTTTACACTCTAGACAGCAGGGCAGCTGCACCACTCACGGCTCTGTCTGCCCCACGATCCCAGCAATACACACCTGATCCACTTTGGCCCATAAAGGGCAGGGCTGCAGCTCAGCCTTCCTTCACCCCCAGCCACCTTCCCTGGCATCACTTAAGCCCTGGACATTTACCCTCACCTCACCCTCTTTCTCTTGGATCACCATCACTTACCTCCTGCACCTGTCCCCCAGCAGTACCCAGGGACTGCCTAAAACAGGGACTTCTGGAAGGGAAAGGACCCACTGTTCTATGAAAACTTCATCAGCACATGCTGCTTCCAAAGATTCACTTGGCTAATCACGCTCTTGGTGTTGTCTGCATTCCCACTACTCCATCTGCACCAGTGGTTGCTCAGCAGATGCCACAAGGCTGCCTTGACAGCCTTGACAGAGCCCCCAGCCTGGCAGCAGAGAGGAAACCTCCCTGTCCCCTCGTCCCTCCGCAGCACTGCAGGGCTTCTCTGCAACTTCATCATTGCCTCTGCACAGAGACAAGACTGCAGAAATCCTCCCACCAGCCTTATCTGGATTGAAGGTCCCACAACGGCAATCCTGGCCCCTAAGGGAAGGGAACCCTATCCACTCACCACACAGGTAACACTTGTAGGTAGGTTATGGGGACAAGGTAAAAAGACAGGATGTGCCCTCACCAGCAATGCTTTTAAAGCAGAAACCACAGCATCGCTGCAGTGCTGTAAAAGCTTGTGGAACCGGATTAAACACAGCTTTATGGAAAATTATTTCAAACAGGATCAAACCTACTGTGGAAGAGCTCATGAGACCAGAAGTAGATTCCCCAAAGGGCAGGTTCTTCTGCAGGCTGCTCTATGGAACTATGGAGACAGCCACCCTACAAGAGCTGCTGCAACACACGGTGTCTTTTGAAAGCAAAGACAATCAGCCTTTGCAACGTGACCCGTGCCTTTTCCTGTGCTTTCTTGAGTGCTCACATCAAGGACAAACCATGGAAAGATGATGTTTTGAAGACAAGCCATTCTGGACTAATGAAATCAAAAGTAGTTGGACCAGGAAACAGGACTGCACATTTCTTTTGCTATCATCTAATTACAGGAGGGTTTAATTATGCATAATCTACATAAAAGGGCTTGGATGCCCCCAAAGGTCACCTATGGAGAGAGAATCAAACAGGAGTAATAGGAACAGTAAAAGTCTGATCCATTTATATGACCCATTTTGATAATTTCTAGTGACACAGCACCTCTCACCTGGGCAGTCTGATGTTCAATTGCAAAGCCTTCTCTTCCACACACAATTAAATAGAACTTGTTATTATCATCTTATTGGTGGTGCTGGGTAACAGAATGGTTTGGAACCACTAAAGCACACGAGGAATTGTTATGTACCATTGAGAAGATAACAAATAACCAAAAAGCAAAGATGTGGGCAAATGAAAACTGCCTTCTGGGGCCCAGGTGCAAAAAAGGCTCGCACAGCAGGGTGCTGAACCACAAATATCAGGTTAGTTTAGAGATGACTTCCATCAGAGCTGTCAGCACAAATGACTTCTCCTGCCATCTCCGACACCTCTCCCAGGGCTAGGCACAGCCCATGCCCTGACCAGTGGCACTCACTGCCAGGAACACGGGCAGGCTCTCCTCCAGATGACACAGACATCTCACTGCCAAGACCAAACCGTATTTCTACATGCAAAGATTCCATTGCCTGGAACTGACACAGGGAGGGCTTGCAGTTGCTGTGGGCACACGGTCTGTGTTCTCTCTGCAGTGCCTGACCTGATTTAGGCTGAAATGTACTCCTTGTCTTCTAAAATTTCAGTATGCCAACCTTAGCAAAAGAGGGACAGAGTCCCTTGCAATTGCTGGGAGCATTCACAAGCTTCTTTACAGCTGACCCAGCTGCTTTACAACTTACACCCACACAACACAAGGCGTGAGACTCGGGGCTTCGAGCACCAGGCACAAGATCTGCGACTTCTACTGGGGCAAATCACCAGAGGTTTTAGTTTGTGTCAGACAAGGGTGTTTCTGCAGAGACATCTACAAAGACACACAAACGAGGCAACAGCAACTCCCCCAGCGTGAGTGGCAGGAGCACCGGGAGAGCCCGTCAGCCCGTGAGCTGAGCCCACGCACACAGGCCACACCGAGCAGCTACACAAGCAGCACGAGGAGCACTGCAGGACAGTGAATACACCATCACACCCTGATATTCAGGACAGTGAATACACCACCATCACACCCTGAGGCCCTCCAGAGCTGCTGCACGAGCAGCAGGCGAGCCAAAGGAACATCTTCCCGTACTTACTTCACAAATCTTCTCCAGCGAAGGGACAAAGAAATCATCGCAGACGATCGCCAGCGCATAGAACATGTACACGGCCTGCAGGAGAGGAGAGCAAAGGCTCAGTCTGGACACTGCCAGGCAGGACTGAACAGCAGCACCCCAGCTTTGGTTTGGCACATCTTCAAAAAAATGAAATGCTCTTGCAAGAACTTATGGAGCTGTCCGGGATTTAACTGAAAGACCCTATTTATCCGAAAGTTCTTACAAGCTATCAAAAGCTGCCAACATTTTATCATCCCTGTAAAGACTGCTTTTTAAAAAATTTTCTGGACACTGCTAAGCCACACTGAAATATTTCTGCCTTCTTTTTTTCCCCCATTGTGCAGTGCAAGGCTTTTTTTTATCACTGTGGTCTGTGAAAATCCAAACCTTGGAGGAGTAATTTTTGAAATCTGGTGTTCTGAAAAAGGGGAAAGGAGCTTGTTTTCTGTAATTGTAGTGCTCTGCCATGTCACCTGGGTCCCAGTGGTAAATCTTGCTAAACTTCATACAGGAACAAACAAAACCCAAGGGAGAACACAAGACTCAAAAGGACCTCGAGCCAATCAGCTCTTCAGTTTCATGCCAGAAGCATTTAATCCGTGTTTCTGTACTGTGAACAGAACGTGCTGGGGCCTGATCTCTGCCCCGAGAGGCAGATGGCACAGTGTGGCTCCCATCCATGCAGCAAAGCCCTGTCCTCCCCCATGGGGGTAACCTGGTCCATACTGCCCAGATCCTCCAGCTCTGCTTGTTGTTGAAGTCCTGCAGAAGCTCAGTTGATGGGAGGAGACCAGAGTACTTTTTTCTAGAGGGAAAGCAGCAATAAAAATGCCCACCATGTTTTTTTCTTGTTTTAGCTTTCAAGGAACAGGTGTAAATCTCCCAACCCAACACACACCCAGATTCTAACTTGCCAGAATTGCAATTTGGCTGCAAAAAGCCAGTAATTACTGTAAATCTCAGCCATGAAAACTTTTCAAGCTCGAAAATAATTCAAGTGTATTTTTTTCAGGATTAGAGATGGGAATTTCATCAGAACAAATTATTTTGACACCATCTGGAAGAACGGGCACTAGACTGTCACTTAGGACAGTTTCTGTGCTTCTCTGTCACTCCTCATAAACGTGAATAAATGTAACTTGGCCTTTTTGAAACTCTTGTGCTGCAAAACGCTCCCGAGGACTACGAACGTAAGCAAAATTCCAGGTCTCCAACTCTGCTGGATGCAGCAAAGATCCTGATCTTGCAGAGGGAGCACCAGCTGCTGACACGCTGCCAGCTGTAAGAACAGAGACAAAGGAAGCAAATGGCTCGCAGGCATTGTGCATCGTAGGAGGAAGGATCAGAAACGGCCCCAGAGAGTTGTGTGGCCAATTCCCATTGAAATCCGGTGGAGAGTGGGTGCCTGGATTTTGATCTGCTAAACATATTAATTTGCAGTGGGTCATGCCAGTGTTTTCCTTCCCCAATACACAATAATGCCTTTCAAGAACACTCATCTGTCACAAAAATGGCATCTCATGGCATGCTGCTTATTAGAGGGCACAACCACAACCCTAAAGGGTGACAAGGGAATTCTTCCCCACCCATGCTTTCACATTTGTAGGATCAGGTAAAAGGGAAAAGGTAAAAAGGAGAGTGAAATGAGTAAGGAACAGAAAAACAAATGTGAAGAAACTGCCCCTCCGCTCTTGGTGATCCCCCTGGAGGAGCAGGGAATGGCAGCTGCTGCAGTGGCTGGGAGCATGGAGCCAAACCCACTGCCCTCCTCGAGAGCATCCTGGGTGACTTCAGCAAACGTCAGCCCTGGGCTGAGAGCACCAACCAGGCTGAGCCCACGCTGACTTGGACGTTGGAGCATTTACTGCAGTGACCTCACTGCTGCCACACACCTGGGTTTGGCTGTGAGGCCTCCCTAATCTTACTGAAGTGGCTTGAGTGCAATACAGTGTAAAGTGGCAGAGTCTAAGGAGTATCTGGCTAAAACCCAGTCCTGTCCACAGACTAAACCACTGGCAGCTACCCCCCATCAGTGAACACAAGGACAGTAACTGTTACTTCCTTGGAGTTCTTTCCCGTTTTTTGGTGGGGCTTTTCTTGTTTGTTTGCCTTTAAAACAAACAAAACAAAGCAACTTTAGAGTTTGGGCCAGCAGGAACAACAAAACCAAAACATTTAATTTCATGTCAAGTCAGGCTCCCAGTGAGGGAGCCCAGAGACCAATGCAGGTTATTTCATGTGAAAAGGAGGAAGGCAGCCAGCACCAGGGCAGGCCAGTCTGCACTGTATTTATTACCCACATGGGCAAAGCCAACAGGATGGCTGCGATGCTGGGCAGCTTCCATCTAAGTTCACCTGAGATTCCAACGGGGAGTCTCGTGGCTTTTTCCCTCAGCACACCCCCCCAGTCCTCAGAGGCGCCGTGGGAGCAGCAGGATTGGTGCAGGAATGGAAAGGAGCAGGGCAGTGTCTTTAGCCAGGCAATATACTTTAAAGACACTCTTCCTCCCCAGAAGGACATTAGAAAATTAGGAAAATGCAATGGCCCTGCATAAAAGGATTACAAATGCCCAGTTCAGTATTACATTAGGACTGATTTTAAAATTATGATTCTAACAAAAAAGCATCAGAGAATAATTGCAATCTCTGCATCAAAGGATCTTAAGTATCTTATTAGAAATACCTGTTCCATTGCACAGGATGAACCAGTCATTTTTCACATTTGTCCAGCAGTGTTTCACCTTCCCACAACAGTCTTCATACTCAAACTAAAACTCGCTTTACTGAACTAAAATAAGCAGCTTTTCACAAGAGAGAATAATGCTGTGGGAGCCAGCAATCCCCACAGCCCTGCCTTCTTCCCAGAGCGCTGGGACAGGCCGAGGTGACCGTCCCTGCTCTGCCCCACAGACCCCCTGCCCCGGGGGGCAGGCCCAGCCAGGGGCCACCTCTGAAACCAAGCACAGGGCTTTCCTCAACTCCGCGCCGTTTCACAAAAGAACCCGGCGCCTAAATCTCCTGCTGGTGGGAGAAATTAAAAGGCCACTCCACCAGAGTCCCCCAAGCCCATTCCCATGTGGAGAGCAGCAGTGGCGGGCACAGCAGGTCCATGTGCAGGACGATCCAGCACCGGGACAGAGCACCCGGGCACAAGCACCGCGACAGGATCGCCGCGACAGGCCACCGCGGATTGTCACCACTCTCCAGGCCCGAAACGAGGCAGCTCTGCTGTCCAAAGGAGATGGTGGCGGGCTTGTGGCTCGCTGCCAGAAATAGATAAAGACAGGATGCAGCCAGGGCGACCTACATTTCCCAGTGCCTGGCGGGGAAGGAGGCAGGTGCCTGCTGGAGCCCCCCGTTCCCATGGCTACACGGAACCACGGCAGACCAGGAGCAGGAGGGACCGCCAAGCACAGCCACTGCTCCTCCACCCCCTCAGCGTGGAGGGCACAGCTCTGCCCAGGGCCAGGCTCGCCCCGACCACGCACAGGCCCCCTCACACTGGCAACGCAACATTCCCCGGCACCACATTCCAGATTTGCCAGAGAAAGCTGGGGAAAGGAGGAGCAACACCGTGCTGTCAAAAAGATCAGGATAACACACAGACCCAAACCCTCCATTCTTGGCTGTCAGCAAAAACCTTGGGAATTCCTCAGCAAAGCCATTTCCCCTCCCCATCTTGAGGAGGTAACGGGGGCCATGAGCACGGCAGGGCTGAAGGTCCACATGGGCACCAGTGCACACCAGCTGGAACTAACTGAAAACCAGGAAAATGCTAAGAGAACAACTAGACAGCCTTCCAGAACCTAAAGGGGCTGCAAGAGAGCTGGAAAGGGACTTTGACAAGGGCCTGGAATTACAGGACGAGGGGGAATGGCTTCCCACTGACAGAGAGCAGGGTTAGATTGGGTATTAGAAAGAAATCCTTCCCTGTGAGGTGGGGAGGCCCTGGCACAGGTTGCCCAGAGAAGCTGTGGCTGCCTCTGGATCCCTGGAAGTATCCCAGGCCAGGTTGGATGGGACTTGGAGCAACCTGGGAGAGTGGAAGGTGTCCCTGCCCATGGCAGGGGAGCTGGAACTGCATCACATGTAAGGTTCCTTTAAACCCAAACCAGTCTGTGATTCTACAAACTACAATGTAGTGCTGGGGAGCTCCCAGGTTGCAGACTGTATGTTTGGTCCTTTAGCAGGGAACAGCACCAGACTCTCAAAATCCAGATCCTGGCCCCTCCAAACTGAGCAACCCAAAGCAGTGACTTAGCAGGGAGTTACTGCCCGTGGCAGCATGCCCTCTTCTCAGAGGGGACATGGAAATAATGAATAGCAGTGAAGCAATCAGTTAACGAGCTCTGAAGAAGTATCCAGGAGAAATTAAACACCATGGCTCCAAACCTGTAATATGGCCTCGCTGGCCCACTTTTTCTTTAAACCAAAGTATTTTCAGCTCGGCCCTAAAACTATTGCTGAACTATTGCCCTAAAACTATTGCTGCCTAGTTTCTCCTAGATTTTTCCAAGTGTTTAGGGCTTTACTTTCATCTTTGTGAAGCACTAGATCATGTTTAGTAATTCACGCAGCCCCACCCTGAGATCTGCTGGGTCTTTGTGTTTTCACTTTATTAAACAGCAGAGACCCAAGGCCCCAGTGATAGCTTTTGTCCCGTTTCTCTGGCTGCCGTTAAACAGCTTTGCCTTGATGTCTTTCAGAAAGAAACATGAAAGTATGGGCAAAGGGGCAGAGAAGAAAGGACAAGTTTTTACTGAAATGAATAGAAACTGTTTAAGGGAGGTCAATAAACATGAGAAGCATGATGATGACCTCTAATCATCACTGCATTGTTCTCCCTACCACTACAGAGCCCCTTTTACAGGCTGATTTCCTCAAACCCACTGAGAAACCTCAATGGAGACAATGAAACTCTGTGTCTGTATCCTTTTTTTTCCTCCAAAAAGGGCATTTCTGCACATGCTCTGATTTCATCACATGTTTGGTAACTGTACTGCTGGGAGGTAAAAAACAGATTTAGAGGTTCATCACCCCAGTACAGAGACAACCCCTTTCAACACAGACTAGAGGCAGGTTGTTAAATGCTGACAGTTGTCTATTTTCTACGGGTATCATTTTTTTTCTTTGACAAGCAGTTGTCCCCAACTACTACAGTGCTACAGGCTGGATCCAGCTGGGTCCTGCACCTCAGGGACACATAAGACAGAGTACGGTCAAGAAATGTTCTTAAGTCAACCAACCTGGTGTGGAGAATGATGGCACTGGTGGAGCGAGGCAGCTGCCCTGCTGCCTGCCAGAGGGGGAGAACCCGAGTGGGCACTTCTAGGGGACAGCAGATGCTTACTTCTGCTTCTCATTAAGAACAGATTTTTCTTTTCATTCTGAAGTAGATGGTTCATCAAAAATCTCAGTCCTCCAGACTCCATTTTGATACATGTTAAAGGCATGTTCAGCTTATCCAGAACTGAACTCATAGATGAATTTTTGGGAGTATTCTTTTGGGTGCTAGAAAATCCAGCTCAGGTCCAGTGCTCACTTTCCAAAACATCTCAAAGCTCAGTGTTCCCATGGAAACTTGGGATCCTTGAGCTTGCCAGGCACAGTCAATAGCAACGTTATTCAAGAAATTTTTGCAGCCATTTAGCCAAAATAAAATCCTGACACAGTGGGCTCACATTACAACATACAAAACAATCTAATTCATACTTTAAAAGAAATCATGAATCACTGCACACAGCTAATGGTGACTGCTCATTTCAGCTAAGAATTATTAAAAGCTTTTAAACATTCACTAGAAGTGGGTATTTACTCGGCTGCTTAAGGATGCCTCTAACCCCCGAGATGTACCGACTTGGCAGTTCCTCCTGAACACAAACAACATGAAAAAATGAAAAGAATTGTCTTCAACTACCTAAGAGTCAAGGAAGGGACCTGGAGGGACAGTGCTCCCCTCTGTCAGAGCACTGCAGCTGCTGACCACAAGTCCTCCAACGCCTGCTGAGTGTCCAATGCACTGACAGACCGGGGTTATTTCAATAACTTTATCCTGAATATCCTTCACTTTGGCCTTAGCCATGCACACCAATTACACTGACTTCTCTGGGGCAGAGATCACAAAGCTGCAAGCCCAAAATTGCACAGATTTATGGTATTAGTAAGGTCTTTAAAACAGCAAGTATTAAAGTCTTCTTGGCCCATTTCTGAACTTTGAGGCAAACCCTTGCCCACCCAATGTCCTCTGGAATTCCCACCCTACAGCTGATAAATGAGGAGCTGCAATACTTTCTTTAACAAATTCAGGAAGAAAAGCTCACTTTGCAAACTTGTGTACTAGGGGGAATTCCAGAGAAACAAACCTTTTTGTTTCTTTCTGTTTTGGATACATTAATGTAGTTGATCATCATCTTTTAAACAGAAAGCTGTCTCTAATGTCTTTCTCCTCCAGCTGTCATAAGGGATGCCACGAGGCTTTCTGGGAGTAAGACTTCGCTTATTTTTGAAGGCAATGCCACGAGTGCCTCCCCTGGACTGGCCAAGCCCCCAGTGTCCTCCTGCTCAGGGCAGAGGGCAGGGGCCACAGCTGCCCCCCGGCCTCAGCAAAGCTGGCCTGGCTGGAGGAACACAACAGGTAGAGCTGACAAAGAAAGCTTTCCAATCCACGTAATCCCATGGATAGTTCTGTGCCAACATCACTATCTCATATATTACAGAGTGTTCCAGAGTTGCTCCTTGCAGGAATCTTGTATCTTTTAGCTCCCTGACATTCGGTTTTCATCTTATGGATACCAAACTCTTCCATTTTCAGAGACAACTTTCTCTTTCCTATGGACTGACAGTGTCTACAGAAGAAATGAAAGCAGGAAACAAATTCAAACTATTCTTCCATTATTAAGAGAACTCCTTTTTACTAGAAGATCCCAAGAGCACAAACTATCACATCCCTGACTGCATAGTCCACACAGGAAAGCAAAATGCACCAAAGAGAAAATAACTTCAGTCAAAACACTGGAGCACACTGAGCCCTGTCCACACCAACAGGAGAAGAAAGGCAAAGTCACAACACTTACACAAAGGACGTGCAGGACCACAGCTCCATGTCTCCTGTCCTCGTTCGTGAAGATGTCATTGGGGAACTCATGGAGAGCTGCAAAAAGCGGGGTGGGGGGGAAAGAAAGCTCAGATGTTTAATCAGCTACTCGAAACCACCGCACGGCTGTGAAGTAACACAGCGAGAAGTCGCCCGACCGAGCGCTGCAGTTACCACACCAGAGGCTCTGTTTCACCTCCCTGTAGCTCAGCTTAGCCTGTCCTCGGGCAACTGCCTTTCCCCAGATGTTTCCTGGGCAATTTGCTTCTGTGGCCACCACCCAGAGAGGCCTCGAGGGGGGACAGACACACCCCGAGAGCCCAGCGCAGTCCATAGCCTGGGCTGCAAACAGGGTGCCACAGGTAATTTAAAGACAAACTCCCTCCATTTACTCCAATGCTTTATTACTGCTCTGGACATTACCTGGATTATGAAGTGCTTAAGGACAGCCTGCCAATTAGGCTGCAGGAATGGCTGTTGGTTAAAAACTGAGGAGCCAGTGTGAAGACGATGCTCTGGCACCCGAGTGCTCCCCAGAAATTCCAGATTTGAATTACCCAACAACAACTGAAACAACTGCTCTCTGCTAATGGTCAGTTCTGCACATTTGGCCTTCAGTTGGAAAAAATCAAACTGTGTTTTTCCTGGCTTTCACATCGTTACTAAAGCTCCAGCAATTGGAATTTAATTAGCAATGCCACAGATGATTAAATGGAAAAACAACCCAGCTCTCTCTCCCAGTTTTGCTGCCTCTGAAGCAATAACTGAGCAGAAAGGAGCTACATCTTAATTTTGTTACTCATGCAAGCAACAGCTCTACCCAGGCAATGTACCTGAGGAGGAAAACACTCTTTTTTACACACAGTAATTTCCCCAAAGGCTTAGGTTAATGCTGTTAACTGTATCCCTATGGATTGGTAAATGTTATAATGAGACCTAACAAACTAGCAGCAGCTACTGGACCAGGACAGCTGGCACTTTTAAAATATATATAATGAAGGAACATCAGCAATAACTTTCTCTTTTATGAGAACCAGCAATACCTTTGACATTTTATCACCAGTCAGGATTCACCTGCCAGGAGCTGGAACTTCTTCCTTCTGAGGCAGAACTAGCACTGCCAGGCTGCCCTCACCCTCCCACCCCAGCACGTGTGCTGTGCCAGGGCTGACAAAGGCTGCCAGAACCTCCTTAGGTGTGCAGCCTAAGGAACCAGTGAGGCAGGTACCAGCACAAGGACAGGTGTTAGAAAAACCCCAGCAAGCAACACAAAACACTACGGAAGCTGGAAGACAATGAGGTTCAATCAGGTGGAAAGGATTCATCTCTCCTCAGCAAAACTTCCTTGTGTGAAAACCAAGGGCTGACATCACAGCTTTAAGGAACACTCCAGACCACAAGCAAGGCAAACAGAGGGAGGTCTGCCTGCAGCAACACTCAAAATGGTTTGCTAACACACACACACTCTCATGTGTGTGCTTCCCCCTCCCTCCTGCAGCTGCCTCTCAGATCTTACATTCAATACAGACAGATGATAAAAATCCAGTCCCTTTATCAAGAGTCTCGAGGAGGTTCAAGGAGCCCAAAGTGCACCCAAGGTAAAGGCATACAGGGGAAAAACAGGACAAAAATAGCACAAGCTGCCGTGAGTGGCAGCGACTGGGAATCCTGGCCCTCCTTTGTGTGCACAGCAGAAGTGACTGGTCCTCCCCCAGGTTCAGGTTCCCACCTCCCACTGTGGGGAAATGCACCTCTTTATGGGAGAAAATCCGAGCGTCCATCACCACGTTCCCTGTGACACCGTCTGAACACAAACACTTTTAGTGGGTTACACATGAAAGCATGCAATTATAAAGTAATATATGCAAATCTGAAATCTGCTGCATTTTTATTAGTTGCATCAGGTGCAGATGAGTACAGATAAGAGGAGAGCTTTGCAAAACACAGGAGCTCCTTTCTAAGAAGAAATAAAGGGTGTTGCTGGAACACCACTCCAACAACAGCTGCCCTATTTAGCCGGTCATAAAAGCTCAGACAGTTTGTTATTTTGCTCTTAAAAGAGTCCTCAGCCTTTGTACAGAAAATAGAGGCACAGTTTGCCAAGCTTATTTTGATTGCACAGAAAAAACCCCAACCATGCTGCCAACGAACCTAAACTGAAAGAATTAAAGATTTCTGGCTAACAGTCTGCTCTGGTCCACGCAGGTATCAGCCTGAAAGCAGCAGAAGGGATCTTCAGACAGCTCAGCCCCTCCACACACACCTGCTGTGCAGGCATTAGGCACGATCCCACCACATTCCCACCACAGGCCAGGCGTTCCAGCCCTCAGCACACATGACGCGGGTTCAGTTTTCACTCAGCGAGGGGCACGTTCCCAGAAACCCGAGCACAGGAGTCTGCAGCTCAACACAACACCCTTTCCAGGGGGCAGTCCCACCTCATGCTGGCAACTTGTAGAACTATGAATAAGTATTAGGATTATTAGCATTTGCAAGTATTTGGAACTAGATGACTGTTCAGAAGGTGTGGATTAGCTTTGGAAAGGAGGCCAAATAATACAGGGGCAGGTGAGCATTAGGAGTGAGAAGCTGACACAGGACTTGAGGTGTTCAGACAGGCAGCAGCTGCTGTGCAGGACAGAGAGCCCACGGCTCCCAGAGCAGGGCACAGGCACCCACCACGGCCACAGCACAACTCTGGGCATGACAAAGCGGGGGGGGGCTGCTGCTGCCCCCTCCCAGGACAGCCATCACGGGGTATTGCCAGATCCAGAGGAAAAGTCTGTATCCACACTCACCGAGGAAAAGTTATTTTAGTCACAACACAATGAGCTGGAATGAATTGTTGTCCTTTCATTCTCAATCAGCGTGTGATTCACTCAGACTGGAGCCCTGTTCAGCACTGGCTTCAGCTGACTTATGGAATGACCCTGCACTGCGAGGATTTGCTGGCACAGCACGGATCTGCCTCTGTCCTGCACAGCCCAGCTCCCCTGCCCCGGCCAAGTGAGCAGGGAGGGTGCTGCTGCACCACCCCTCAGGGAGAGCCACCTCTCACAACCTTTCTCCCTGCTACTCCTTTCTCTCTCCTATTTAAAGTTTCCACCTCTGTGAAAGGATTCTTTATTAAAAAACCCAACGCTGTACTGGATCAATGGTTCTCAAAGCTGCAACATCTACTTATTTTTAAAGAACTCTTCATATTGCTAGCCAGTGTACCTACTCTGGGGACAAGAAAACCCTTGGGAAATTACCACTGCTTTCACAGATGAAGGATGTTCAGCCTGGGCAATGAATTACCAGCAAAGAAAACTCATAAATTTACAACCTTGGTTCATTTTCTCATGCTGTCCCCATAATTCTTTCATGGCAGAGGTAAGTCACATCAGTGCTCTATGCCAGGGCATCCAAACACCCAGTCGGTGCCAGGTTCTGCAATCCCAAGGCATCCAACTACCCAGTGGGGAGAGGCCCAGCCTGTGCCTGTCCACAGCTTTGTGGGGTGAGTGGTCTGCCCAGTGGCCCCTGTTTGCCTGCTGCTTCCCAAAGAGCTCTCCCAAAGCGGGCTGCACTTCCCAGCACTGGGCAGCAGGTACGGCCACAGAAAGCTGTGACTTGAAAAGCTGACAAGGGCGGGCTGGATTAGAACCCGGGATTTAGATACACAACTCCACCACGCAGGGACCACTGGCACTCACAGCACCAGCACTACTGCAACTGCCATGCAAAGTGCCAGGGCCAACCACTGCTGTGCAGCTGCAGAGACACCCGGACAGGAGGCTGTGCCAGGCAGCCGGGGGCGAGCCCTCGGGGGAGCCCAGTTGGCAGAGCGTGTGCTCCTGTGCCCAGCCCCGGCTGCTCGGAGTGTGCCAGCAAATACATCGTTGGCAGCAACCACAGCAGGAACACAGAACCAAGGGGAACATCAGTATGGCTTCACACTGGCAGAGGGAGGGCTTAGATGGGGTACTGGGAAGAAATTCTTCCTTGTGAGGGTGGGGAGGTCCTGGCACAGGTTGCCCAGAGAAGCTGTGGCTGCCCCTGGATCCCTGGAAGTGTCCAAGGCCAGGTTGGACTGGACAGCCAAAGGAAGGGCATCAAGGAACGTCCCCACGTGTTTTTTCAGTGGGTCTTTGTGACTTCTATTGTCACCTATGAGGGACAGATGTTAGTGGAGCAGACCTTGTGATGTGAACTGAGACAACATTTTTTGCATCCAGCTTTTTTACACAGGGAAATAAAAAACTTTAAAACAATTAGTTACCTTTTTCCCCTCTATCCTCAGAATCATTATTTTAAACTCAAGCTCAGGATTATTGCCTGGTTCAGGATAAGCAACAATATCACATTCAGCACCTTCCTGCAAAGTGCCTCACCCAATTCCCTGAGCTCCAGCAGCATCCCTGCACAGTACCAGCTCTGACAGCCCCAGCTATACAGGTGAGCAGCCCCTGCATCCCCAAGGTCTGTCCCTGACAGGGAGCAGGGACCTGGAGGACCTGTGGGTGCAGGGAGGTGAGGGGGCTCAGGAACTGCTGCATCTGCTCAGCCTCAGGGCCACCACTGCCTGGAGAGCAGCTCAGGCAGCCCCACACTGCACAGCACACAGCCCCTGTTCCCATGGGGAACACCCTGAAATCACGTGGCACCAGAGAGGCAGGGGACCGTGAACATCTTTAGCTATCTTTAAAACCAATAAGATCAGTCAAATTCTCTCTGAGGGGAGGGCGAGTACCTTTTATATATACATAAATGTTTCACTGTCTGCCAAGTGAAATGGTGTTTGCATTGCAGTGGCATGATCTAAAATGCAAAGAGTGCCAAAGTGTGCTGATACATCAATAATAAAACATTTTGCTAATGTTTTGCTCATGTCTCCACTTAACTGCTGCAGACAAGTGGCTGAAGCAGCACAGGGGTGCAGCACCCCACTGTAAATCCTGCAGCACCCCCAGAGGCCCCGTCCCACCCCTCAGGGTGGCAGTGCCAGGCTCTGTCTGTGCCCCCCGTGAGCAGACCCTCTATGGGCCAGGGGAAGCAGCCACACAGACACGCCC